ACAACTTGATTGTAAAATTAACTGTAGCAAGAAAGGCACCTTGTCTCTAGGCCTCTTTTCCTCGCCTTCTGGAGGGAAGGGGCAGTATCTTGGCTCTGATTGTCCCATTTTTTTGGGGGGGACAATTCACTGAATATGTATTATATGTCATATATTTTACTGGGGTTCTGAGGATGCAAGGATAGGTAAGATGTGGTCCTTAACTTCAAGGAAGTCATATCTTTTGGGTCAAAGGGTAGCAGACGAGGCACAGATAATTACAAAATGGGATGAAGAGTTTGAAAATACAGATTTATCTAAAGTATATGAAGCACCAAGAAAGAGAAATCAGTTTCTGGAGGACTTAATGAGATGTCTTTTGAATGATGTCTTAAAGAATGACTTAGAATTCATCGTATGGGGAAAATAAAAACATCTAGGCCGAAGGACCAGCACGTATAAAGGAGACATAAACACGCATGACGTATTTGAAGAACTGTGAAAAGTTTGGTTTAGGTGGAACATCAAGTTTATGCAAATGAGTGCCAAGAAATCAGACTGCAAAGTAGGTTTGGACCACAAGAGAAAAGATCTTTAATGCCATTCTAAGGAATTTGGACTTGATCCCTTAGTCATGGAGTGGACCATTGAAAGCTGCTAAATAGGAGAGGAACATGACCTCAATTTTTAGAAAGACAACTTTGTTGACAGTGTACTAGATGGATTGGAGGGAAATTGGATGAAGGGAGACGAGATGGGAGAATTTGCAAGAGTTTGGGGAGGGGAAGAAACAATGAAAATTTCACAGAAGTGTCAGTGCAGTAGTAAGAATGGGAAGACAGTAATAGATATGGTGCCATTTGACTTGGCTCTTTGCAGGTTGATGATGGAGGGCGTCTGAGATGACAAGAGGTTTCTAGTTTTGAACTTCAGGGAATGCTATTGACTGATACGTGAATGCAAGGGGGGAGCAGTGTTTGCAGGAAAGATAACAAATTTAGAGAAAGGAAGATTGAACCTGAGGTACCTATTAACATTCAGGTGAAGTCATTCCATACGCAGCTGCAGTGTGGGTCTGAGACTAGGAGAGAAATTGTGGCTAGATTTGGAAGTTACTGGCAAAGAGAAACCATGAACTACATGAGATTTCCCAGGGAGAATGAGTAAAGATGAGGACCACAGATAAAACCTAGAGGAGCTGCAACGTTTATTGATAATCAGAAAGGCTTGAGAGATAACACTGAAAGATAAAAGGGAGATCCAGGAGACAGAAGTTCAAGAAAGCCAGTGGAGACCAGGTGAGATGGCTCACACCTGTAATCCCAGCACTTTGGGAAGCCAAAGTGGGCGGATCACGAGGTCAGGAGTTCGAGACCAGCCTGGCCAATATGGTGAAACCCTGTCTCTACTAAAAAAAAAAAAAATACAAAAAGTAGCCAGGCATGGTGGCACACACCTGTAGTCCCAGCTACTCAGGAGACTGAGGCAGGAGAATTGCTTGAGCCTGGGAGGTGGAGGTTGCAGTGAGCCGAGATTGCGCCGCTACACTCCAGCCTGGGGGACATGTGAGACTCTGTCTCAGAAAAAAAAAAAAAAAAAAAAAAGCCAGTGGAGAGGAGAATTTTAAGAAGATAGATGGGATGGCCAGCTGTGTTGAAGATGTCAGGTATGAATAGAACTGCAAAGTTCCTTTGCAGTCTGGCCGTTTGTTCTGAAAAGATCCTAGAAATGCTGTTGTCCTTTGAGAATAGTGAATAAATTCTCTCAAAGCTACCAGTTACAGTTAATACACATTCTCAGTCTTTATAGTTTAAGGATCATATAATATGACCAATTTTGCCATTAAAAGAAACATCAAAATTGAAATAATTTAGGAGAGCACTGAAGGCCAAAATTTGTCTATATTGAGGTGGCAGTCGAAGCCTTTAGAATAACTGGATTTTATAAGAGGGAGAGCAGAAGGTTAAGGATGAATGGTGAGGAAACCCTCAAAGTTAGGCTTAGCACAGAGGGAAAGTATCCAGTGAAAGAAGTGAATAGGAGTGATCTGGAAGTCTGGAAAAAAACTCGGGCAACCAAGCATGGATTGTAGCATGCTATGCTTCAGCTGGTAGGGTTTCCAGAAGGAGGTTCTTCCAGGTCTTGAGTTTCAGATTCTGCATAGAGACCAGGGAGAATGAGGAATAGAAATAAATGTCTATGATAGTGCCGCAAGATCCTTGGAGATAGGGATGCAAGAATTTTCCGGACAATGTGGGGGCACAGAAACCAGACTGTCTGCCATTAGGAAAGGAGAAGGTGGAGATGGAATGAAGCCATCTATGTCTTGCACTGCTCCAGCACACACAGTGAGCATAAAAGAAAAAAGAATGGTGCGGAGCTAAGCGAGGGTGGAGCGAAGACAAGATGGTTGGGTGCAGAACATCCTGGGAAACAAAAGCAAGTAGAACTTTGTAGCTCTTTAGAGGTATTTCAGAAATGTTTCCTCTGATAAATAAAGAAAAAAAGAGGGCTGGGTGCGGTGGTTCACGCCTGTAATCCCAGCACATTGGGAGGCTGAGGTGGGCGGATCACCTGAGGCTGGAAGTTTGAGACTAGCTGGCCAACATGGAGAAACCCCGTCTCTACTAAAAATACAAAAAAAGTAGCTGGGCAAAGTGGGGCATGCCTGTAGTCCCAGCTACTTGGGAGGCTGAGACAGGAGAATTGCTTGAACCCAGTAGGCGGAGGTTGCAGTGAGCCAAGATCGCGTCACTGTACTCCAGCCTGGCTACAGAGTGAGACTCCGTCTCATAAAAAATAATAAAAATAAAATAAAAAAATATAAAATTAGCTGGGCGTGGTGGCGCATGCCTGTGATCCCAGCTGCTCGGGAGGCTGAGGCGGGAGAATCTCTTGAATTTGGGAGGTGGAGGTTGCAGTGAGCCAAGATGGTGCTATTGCACACTCCACTCTGGACAACAAGAGCAAAATTCCATCTCAAAAGAAAGAAAAAAAGAAAGAGAAAGAGAAAGAAAAAGAGAACACTCAGGGAACCAGTAAGTCAGATAGCACAGGTAGGTACTTGGAAGGAGACAGAAATCAGAAATAAGAGACACGGTTGAAGAGCTCACATCAGTAACATAGGAAACCATCTGTTGGATGAGCCATTTACACTTTATCATTGGGAACTTATCATAAAGAACAGGCGTATGGTATCACTAGAAATGACTGAAAAAACTCTACATTTTAGAAGTGCTATTGTGGTGAATAGCATGTGCAAGAAAGTGAGTGCTCAGGAAAATAGGCTTGGACACCTGGAAAGATATACCCCTCATTGTCAGTAAATTGACATTCTTTTTTTTTTTTTTTTTTTTTTTTTTTTT